TTTTGTATCGTTGTGTTGCAATCGTTTCTTGCATTCTTAGTTCTTGTGGATTTTGTTTCCAGGTCTGTCTGATTGACGATTCTTGTTGGTTTTTTGTTGGGTATGAATGGATAATGTACTGATACGTCTGTTTCATTTGTCTTCTTAAGGTTCTGATGCTTGGCGAGCAGTATGCAATTGCTGCCATAACATACGTAGATCCTCTATCTGCAGAGCGGGCCATTTTGGAACATTTTTGGTCTTTTTCGAACGAGCGCATACTGTACTTGTTTTTGCACTTGTCATTATGAAAGGGAGTTTACAGTATACATCCCCGGAGTGTTCTAGTGTCCTGTGTGTGTTCTTTGCTTGCTTGCTTGTTTGTTTATTTTGTGTCGGCACCACCTTCTCCTCACAAGCTACCCCTGTTACGCTTTTCCACCGACATGTAGACCAGAATCCGCGGTGGCAGTAGCGGATTCTGGTCCCGGCGCCACGTGTTGCCAGCTGGGCCCGGCGCGGATCTTTGTCTCCAAGTCGATGGTCCCGGAGGGCTGGTCCTACTCCGAGGCGGACGCACGGGGTGGACGTGGGGTGGACGAAAGGATTTGGGGTGGAAAGCTTGGACACGAAGACTTGAAACACCGGGAGAAGATTCCGTGTCTTCTGCCTAATTACAGGCCCTCTATCTACAAACTGGAGTCCTGTACCTTGATGCCTATTTATAGTTGAGCCTCTTGTACCACCAGCACCAAGTCGCCAAGCTTCTTTTTCACTCGTTTCTTGGAGGATTTTCCGTTTTCATGGTGAAACTCCTTGCGCCTGGAGCGGGGACCGGGGGGGCCGTCGGTTCTCCCTGGTCCGAGGACGATGCCAGTTCCAGCTTCGTCGGGATGCGCAGAAGTTCCTGCCAAGCGATATGAAGCGAGATGAAGCGAGGAAAGACAACATGTGAAAAAGGCATAATTAGGGTAGCTCTTTAAAGACTCCAGTGTAAACTGTTAGGGTTAAAACAGGGAGGGGTTAATCACATCAAGGCATCAAGCCTGACCTGGTATTTGCTGAATCACAAAGACAGGTCTTGGCCAACCACGAGGTAAATCACCACAAAAGGGAGTTCAGTGAGGGGTCGTGTGTGTGTGTGTGTGTTTCTTTTTTTTTCCGATGGTGCTTTCGGGGACTGTGTTGGGAGGTGCGAGGTGTAGGGTGCCCTTAATCCCTTAGAGTTTAAGTCCAAGAACTAGAATGAACATGAACGTCATCCAAAGCTGTTCTTGTGTGTGGCTTTGATCCAGAAGCTGGTTTCAGTTGTGGCTGCATGAGGGATGATGATTTGTTTTGAACTCAAACCAGAGCACACAAACATTCCACCTGCCACACAATGGTTCATGGCTATTTTTTTGATGGGCTGGTTGTCAACTACCGCCAGTTGTAGTTATCATCACTGTATGTCATATTTGCTTGTAACTCATTGTGGTGATTGGCAATTCACGGTTCGTGATCCATTTTGACCAGTTTGGAATCCAACGGAAACGTGTTGGTAGCAGCTGTGTCCGACACGGAACCGACTCTCAGGTCTCTGCAGATGGCACCAAGGTGATCCGCCGCGCAGCTCGGCGAAAGGAATCGGAGTGGTTGACTAGGAGGTGTTCCTGTGGTAATTTGAGGGTTGATGACCTTCAATAAGCTCAGAAACACATCTGAGATTGAAGATATTGAAGGTATTAGGAGTATTTACAGTTACAATACTAATTAATGTTTTTTTCGGATGACGCTCGACAAGAAGGCAGAAAACAGGCCAGTTGAAGTCTGAAGCCTACAAGAACGGACATGCGGTGCCGACAGTCGACCGATATTTTATCCTCAAGACATCAACCGTTCTTCATGGCATGAGGTGGGGTGTATATAACTCGTTTGGCATGTGCTGCAGAAAGGAGTACTGTTTATGGACAGTTTACCCAGAAGCACCACAGGACACCTCAATCTTCAAGCCGCTAGATTCATGCGGAACATGGGGATTCCTATGGTAACTTGGTGCAAGATCATTTAGCCATCAACCGCGTGCTTGTTCAAGGCAACTCACTGTTCTTGTGGCGCAACTCTTCAGTCTGTAATTAGTTTTGAGGTAGAGAACCTCCAAGGCAGAATGGTCTTCCAATTATACCTCTTCTCTTTGAGTTCTTTTGCCAATGTGGAGTTGTGGGGGCCCGGGCATCCGGGGGCATTTGCCTGGGCCAATTCAGGGCAGCGACGTGCGTGTGGGGGTGGCCCAGTTCTGGGGACAGGGTCAGGCCTGAGGGTTTGGTACCTACCTTTGCCATCATTTCTCATATTAGTCTCTACAAGATGGGACCTCCCACTTTGGTATTCTCTTCCCATTTTGAAGTACAAGACAGACCAGATCAGTCTGCAAAACGCGTCTTGGCCGCATGCTCGGCTTGGGCCCTTCCAGGCTCCGGAGTAACATTATTTCAGCTCCAGCGATCCAACCGCGAGCGATGCTCGTGAGTTCAACCAGCCAAGTGTTCCATCCACTCAGTGTCCATAGCAGCTAAGCTCGGTGAAACAACAGGGTACGATGGAAGTAAGAAGACAGCGAACTCGACAGCGCGAACTCGACAGCGCGCTGCGTCCACTTTTGCCAGACCCCTCAAGCCCCAAAGTGGTCCAACCAAGCATACCGTATACGCACTGGTAGCAGCCTACACCATGGTTGCTTGGCCATTCCGGAGCTGGTCCGTGCGAGCCTTGGGTCGAAGCATTTGGCACCCCATTGGCACCCCAAAGCCACACCTAACCTGCGTGCCAGGGGAGGTCGGGTGCTTCTTCCCATATGCCATTGACAGATACCAGACCTGGTGTTGCGGATCCGGTGAAATGGCTTTCCCTATGGGTGAATGCCCTTCTCAGGAATATGTGTTGATTCTTTCCGGGCTCCCGAAGCCAATCCGTTGAGCCTAAGCATTCCCCTTTGGTCTACTCGATGAAAAGGATCGGTCAGTTGACAGACAGACGACATGAGGGAAACGGATCCATGAAATCTCATGAGATAGCCACGGCTTCCTTCCGGATGATATTTGTGTCAACCAAGATGGAATGGATTTTGGGAGATGTGCCAGGCCATACACAGCAGAAGTGACTGGTCTCCCCACTCTCAGGTGAGATTGGTGGCGACCAAGCAGGCGAATGAGTTGTTCGGTGGTTGGTGTCCTATAGGGTTGGCCGTTCCTGGTTAGTTTGGGAGAACAGAGAATCAAGTGTTCTGCTTGGAAGTGTGAGTCCAAATTACATCTCTGAGCATACGTGGCATACCTACGTGTTTCGGAGCTGAGGTTGGTACTGTATAATTTGCCATATATATATATAAATATGATTTGTATACATTATGCACATACGGTCACTATTACATACTATTGATATACATTCCTAGCTTTTTTTCTGCACAGGACTCTTGTGATGCAGTGGTGGAGAAGTGGGATGCACAGAGTTAAACATTATAGCAGTTAGAACAGAGAGTCTTGTTTTGCCTCTTAATGTAATCCTTTACGCAGCAGGCACACCATCATATACCACGAATATCCTAGATGGACATCTCCTGCTTCCATTGGGTGTCGACCAGGGTCTTTAAGAACGTGACGGCGATCAATATCTAATTATGGAATACAACCCGGCTTTCGCAATAGGTGGCTTGACAGCAGCAAGAATATGATCCATCCAACAAGGGCGAAAACACACACATCGAGTCGAGTGAAGCTAAGATTGGACAATCTCTTCCCCAGGTCCATCTCATCGGTTCAGGGAAATGACAACAACTATTGGTGCGAACCAAAAATCGTGAGAACCGTGGTCGCTTTTTAAAGGATGCCAATACTCTGCTCACCTTTTTGATGTGCACAGCTGCACAGCCATTTGATTTTACACAAATCACCTTGGAGGAGCTTCCATCCACCAGAGCGTCCATCGCCGACGGGGCAACTCAGGACCAGAATCGCTTGAACGCCATTGGAACCACCATGGGTGAGTATCTGGGACCTCTCCATGCCTAGGCGCTCCGTCCGGACTCGGACGGAGCGGGAGCAGAGCGGAGCCACAAAAAGGTGCCGGGACTGGAGTGATCTCTGGCAGATGGTGTCGGATAATTAGGGGTACTTGCTTCACGCTGGTTGCCTGGTTGGCTTGGTTCGCCGGAAGCTGTTCATGTTTCGTGAGCCGCAGCAGGCTACGGGGTTGGACATGCGTAGTTTTGCCATGTGTCGCCATTCTCCAGCCAAATTGCAGGAATCTCTCAGCATAGTGGGACATTTTTCAGCCAGAAACTTTTGAAACTTTGAGAAAACTGAGAGATGCTTCCTTCTTTGCTAGATCGCAGATAGAGACTTTGAAAGATCATAACAGCCGTTCGAGAGAATATCCCTTGTGAAGCAGTGCAGTCAAAGAGCCAGAGTCCTTGTGAAATTCTTCGGTCCTCGAACACTTGCAACTTCCACATAGGCAGTTCAGCTATTTCTATTGCCAGACAAACATAATCAATTAATTAATCAATCAAACAATCAATCAATGAATCAATGAATCAATGAATCAATGAATGAATGAATGAATGAATCAATCCATCAATCCATCAATCCATCAATCCATCAATCAACCAATCAATCAATCAATCAATCCATCAATCCATCAATCCATCAATCAACCAATCAATCAATCAATCAATCCATCAATCCATCAATCCATCAATCCACCAATCAACCAATCAATCAATCAATCAATCAATCAATCAATCAATCACGACTTTTAGTGAACGGATGTCACACCACATTGGCCACTTACCTTGGACATTCCTGCTACAAACTCACTTGAGTTCTGAAAGAACCCCTCGTAACAAACCATTGGGTCAGTGGGCACGACATCCATGGTAAGTCAATGGCTGCATGTACATTCACTTCCTGTAAAAATCAATCTTTATCTATCAGTGGCAAGTCTTCCTCTTTGGCACAACCCACCGCAACCTACTAATTAGGCATGTAATAGGAACCTTTTTGCACCGGTGCTTTCCCAGCGCCCCGATCTGCCCAAGTCCTCGACTCGTCGCGCGCCGCGCTCCTTGTTGGGCTCGAAGGCAACTTGCCGTCGTCTGGGGTTCTCACTGCCACCGCGCCTGAGCTCCCTAAAAGAGGGAGGCTTGGTGGCTTCATGTGTAGGGGAGTTGTAACTTAAAATATCTGTGAATATTAGCGCATCAGTCCATTTCTGTCGGGTGTTTTGACATGGGCTGCAAGATCTGGGGGTTCGTTTAAACTATCATCTCCCAGAGTTTTCCATGTCCTGAGGTCTACCCGGTGTTTTGCTTCAAGCTCCTAACATCACACGGGGCTTTCCTTTGAGCCTCGCACCGTTTCCTTTGCTCCATGCGCCTATGACGAGGCAGGAAGGGCCTTCTGGTTGGAGGGCGGTGTGATGAGCTTGGGGAGCCCGACGACGGAAAGCCTTCAACTCCCGAAGCTGGGCCTTTGCAAGCTCATGAGCTTTCAATGTGTCGCGCGTGCGCAGAGCGGCAGGAGGTTTTGTCGAGTGGTTCACGACTTGAGGCTTTGGCGGCTTTGGCCTTTGCTCTGGCTTTATGCGAAGGTGGGGATGCTTAGGATGAGAGGATATGAGAGGGGAGCGGAGGAACACGAAGAGATAGGATGGAAGGCAAGGTGTTTCTTGTGCCGGCTTGTCCCATGAAGCACAGTCTTGGGCAGTACACATGTCAAACATAGAACATCACACATAGGCGCCTGGCGGCAATTATCATATGCTGCTGATGGGGGGTGAGGCTGACAAGCCCGGTCGGAGTTCCGTGTGGCTGACAGCTTGAATACTAACAGTGCGGTTCCAACTCACTGTTGAAGGTTAAGTTAGCCTCAAACGAATCGAAGAGCCACTAGCTTCAAACACCTCCCACTTCAACAGCCCAACCTGGGCGATTCCAGGCTGAATTTCCATCCACCGACCACCTTTATTTGGGGGTTACTTCCCCCCCCCCTCCATTTTGTTCGGGGTGCCCTAAACAAAAAGGATTGAACTCATGTTCTTCGCGATTGGACACATGAGCTGCATCTCTGGATCTCGCGGATCCACCGAGCCGCGGATCCACCGTCGCGCAGGCGCAGAGGAATGGACGGAAGCATCGCTTGATGCGGTCTCAGGCCGGTGGACACCGAGAAAGCGAGGGTGTCACCAGAGAGTTCACCTCTTTGCGCAGGGTGAGTGCATGAATATATATATATATATGTTTCTATATAATTCTATATGATATATGTCTCCAATCAATGTTTGAGTTGATTCTTCATTTTTCGTTGCTGGACAGTGATATTTCTTCTTGGTTCAATGCCTCTAGTCCCATAGGAGCAGCTCGCAGCAGTGGCGGTTGACGAGTCAGGAGGCAAGGGCTTCACATGGAACAGGGTCGGGGCGCGCGTCAGCGTTGTTGGCCCAACGCTGGTGGGTGCTGCTTTGGTTTGGCGAGTTGGTATGGCTAGAGGAAGCTCGAAGGTGAGTTATTTCAAGCTCCAACTTTTATGGGTTGAGCAGCGTAGCTTCCAGTTCACCATGACACTTAGTTGGACACTTAGTCACTGGTCTGACATGTTCTTTGGAATCTCTTCCGATGGATGACGAGCGATGCGCTGTGGTCCGAAAACCACTCGTTGCGGTCCGTGAAGCGAGGTGCTCGAAAAAAGGAGTTCAGCCAAACCATGCCAAACCACTCTCCATGGTTCCATTTGTTTTACATGTATGTGTTCTTAACATTATTTCCATTCTCGCTTTTTCTTGCAGTAATGTTTTGCATGGTCCATCATGGTTCCATGCTTCTTGTCCCTTTTGAGTCTCATGTGGTTTTCGCTTCTGGGTGGTGTGCCCCGTGCTGCGCCGGGTGGTTTTGAACCAGGCGTGGAATGCACCTGGAGTGATTGGAGTTCGGGGGCCCAAAAGGGTCGAGGATAGGGGCTCAGATCAGATGGCCTCAGGGCGTTTTGGCAGCGGTCCACATGGGATTGGTCGGCAGACTGTGAGCACTGTATCTGCATTTCGATGCAATCGGATGCGCATGAGCTGGGAGGTGCGAGCAATTGGCAGAAGCGGGATGGTGCAGTCCATCCATTCCAGGGTTCCAATCGCTTCAATACTTGGCCCTCCGATGCATTGGTGACAGATTGCCAGTCAGTAATGCTTGGTTTGGCCACAACAGCATGACCAACAAACTAGCGCCTTCGGCGATGGACTACAGGTCTAGGAAGAAGGCAGTTGAAGCTTCAGCCAAGTAGCCCAGGGCTATCCTGGTGAGGTGGCCAGAATTCCTCCAAGTCTTTGACACCTGAGTCTCACCCGAGTCTCACCATGGTGAGCCCGGTCTCCCCACCGACCAAGGTGCCTGGTCCTATTGCTCGGCCTCCTGCGGTGAGGGCCTTCAAACGCGGAAGCGCTGGGTCGCCATTGCCGCGTCCGGGGAACCCGGAGGAACCCCGAGGGACGGAGCGGAGCGGCGGAAGGAAGTCGACTTCACATGAAGGGGCTGAAAGGTCGGTTGCCACTCACATGAAATGATAGGTGCTCTATTCAGGGATGACCCCAACATCATGGTTGATGCGACTTTGAGTGTTTAAATAGATTGGTAAGCTGGACACATGGATCTCTTTAACCTTTTCAATGCGCGAGAAGTCGGTCCGGACCACGGTGTCCCCACCGAGGCAGGGCGGTGTGCAAAACTGCGACGGCAGCAGCGAGCAGCGCCAGAGCTGCGAAACGCCCTGTGCGCCCGGCGTGCAGTGTCATTGGGATGTTTGGCAGGAGTCAGCCATCCGAGGTGGAGGGGATCGGGAAAGGGATTCAAAGGTGTTGAGGCCTTTGTTGGAATGCAAGAAATTCAGTATGTTTAGGATATTTGGAGGCAAGAAGTGATCTTCACCCAGCACCGGGGACACTGCTTGCAACTCGCTCACTCCGATGGTCTGTGTCAGATTCTATTCAGGTTGGTGACTTTGGAGTCTATCCAGGCACTCACTCCGACCTGTTCAGCCTCCTTCAAGCGCTTCCCCTCACTGAAGTGACCCGTCTTCCCAAGCAACGACCACCTGTGCGGCTCGCGCAGGACTGGTCCGAATGCACAGCCTCCTGTGGAGGCTCCGGCACGGGGTGGGCCACACTTGGGGTGCGAAAACCGTTGAAGCAGCTTTGGACCAGAATTCTCTGGGCGAATCAGAGAGATACTGAGCTGCTGTGAGTCGCTCGTGCGAGTCCTCCGGTCATGTCACGTCTTTCAGGTGGCTGGCACCAACGGGTGCGGGCCCTCTCGGCCAGCTCCAACCGCACAGAGTGCAACATGGCCGCTGGACACCAGGCGCGGGACGAAAAAGCACCGTGGTGGCATAGTTTTGAGCACCGTCTGCAAGACGAGGTGTAGGGTTGGTGGTGATGTTTGATTTCTTGGAAATCAAAGCGACCTGCAAGTAGATTAAAGGAAATATCAACTTGCGCTTACCGGTTAACATGATCTCTCTTCAATATCTGCTGGTTGGGCCCAAGGTCACGGTCACGTCTATCTCGACTTACAGTTCAACACGTGTCGACATGATTTGGGACAGATCTCACACGAACAGCACACGAACAGCAAGTGCCTCTACCCGCCCGCAACCCCCCCAGAGTCGCCGACTTCCCGAGAGTCGCTGCACAGGAGGAGCCCTGCAGGGAGACGCCCTGTGTCAGCTGTTGGTCCGAATGGTCTACCTGCAGTCAGAGCTGCAGCGGCCTGCGGACCCGCCGCAATAAGGTCGGGGACGACCAGGGCGGAGATGGAGGGAGGACCCGGCAGTTTAGCTATGTTTAGCTCGAGCTCTCCATGCTGAAGTTCGATGCATTTCGACTGGTCAAATAAGAGGACGATTTGCGAAAGTCATGTAGACTTCTGATTCATAAAGCTCCCCTGTTTTGGATGCACGCACTTGCGAACCGTCGATGAGCGGACGCGCCCACACTCCCCCTTCCCAGCTTTCTGAGGGGTGGAGGTGGGAATGAACAAAGTGTGACACCGTGCTATACAGAAAAGGAAAAGGTGAGAACCCATGTACAACTACGAGATCAATCCCCCGTTTTGGATTGAACTGGTTTCAGTGCCAGGCCAGTTGCCCCTCAGCCAGCCAAGAAGAGCTTTGCAACGTTGAGGCGACGGGGGACATGGCTGGGAGGGCCACAAGACCGTGATCCGATCTCCAAAGCCCTGAACTCATTGACCTCTCCCTGTCAATTCGATCGACGCGTGTTGAAATTGTTGGACCATTTTGTTTCCCAAATCTCAACCAACGAAGTTCCTTCGATCAACCACATGGGGATTTTGGGGAGATTGGACTCCAACTGCACCAAGCAAACCAGGTGCAATGTCCAGATGTTTGACATTTAAAAGACACACCTTTATCAATTCCTGTACTTTTACTTGACGTTAAGTCCTTTCCACCAGGGTGCTTGAGATATCTCTTTGAGATGGGTGCACCAGGTCCAGGGCAACGTCTCCAAGCGTCGATGCGTGACCCGGAAGTGAAACGTCTCCTCACGGCGGCCTCGACTGGCGACGCCAGGCCTGTGACTGCGTGCTCAGCGACTGGAGCGCCGGGATGCCGAAGCAACGATTTGGGGAGTGGATGCTTCAGTGGGGTTGGTGTTAAGCCAACAACTATAGTTCTGGTCTTGATTTACGGGGTGGGAACCTCCCACAAGTCTGGTAAAGCACGGCCATTGGATGAACACATATTTGAGATCACATCTACAGGACAGATGTGGTCGGTTGCTTTCCCCAAACAAATCGAACTCCGTGAAGAAAGATATCCACTTGTTCACCATCTTGGAGAGGAGGTTCATATCTTTCACATGTCGCGTGATTTTTTTTGGCTTGCTGCATGACACAGTGTCGGAATCCATTGCAAGGTCGGATGTGATAGACATTGATAGACACTGGACGTTTCACAGCTCTAAATCCCTCGTGGCGCTCCGCACCGTTGGTCACGGACGTCGCTCGTCCGAGGAGTGGGGCCTTTGCAGCGGACCGTGCTACGAGGGCCAGGCGAACGGTGCGAAGCCGGACCGTCCGAGTGATGTGAGGAACAGGAAGCAACAGGAAGCAACACCAATGAGGGGTTGCCTCTTGGGGTAGGTGAGTGGGCAACTGGGTGCGCCAACACCAGATGGGATCTCAGGTGGTAGCATATCCAACTTCTTGCGGGTACCTGCCTTTAGCTCCCGTGAGGTACGTTGAGCTGATGGGTCTGACTGCCGCAACCCGTCCTCGTCTCAGGCGGTGTCCAAGCGCACGCGGACTCCCCAAGGTCCGGATTTCCGGGTTTTCCGCGTGGAGACGGGGACGGAGAGGGGATGGGGAGCTTGGGCACCATACCTCGATGGGGTCAAGGAGTGTGCAGGGGATTTGGCTGATTGTCGCGGCGACTGCACATGGCAGCCGGTGATTTGTGGCTTGATGGACAGGTCTACAGCCCCCCGCACAGGTCTGCAGGGGCAGGTTCCCACCCCACACTGGACCTGGCGTCAGCGGAGGTCAGTCAAATTGCGGCTCGGAACAGCTCCAAGAGGAGAAGAGCTGCGATTGCGTGGCGTCAGCTGGGGTGCCAAGCTCATTTCATGATGGTGTCGTGGTTTTTGGATTGGTCTTCTACCCTCAAGTGAAAGCACAGCGAATGCGCAAAAGTGAAGATGTGAAGCAACCCCACAGATATACATCACCAATTGTCAAGATTTTGTTTTGTGTGTGTATGCATCACTGGAAACCCATTTCCGAACTCGTCTTTGACCATCCATCCATTTGGTGGATGGACTTCTGGCTACGACACTCGGAAGCCTGAACTCTTCGAAGCCTCGGAGCCCAACCGAGCCTTGGAACTCGAACTGCTTCCGGGCCTGACGGTATACCACCGACGGAAAAAGACACGAAAAGACCGACGGTAGCAGCCGAAAGGGGCAGGTGGATGGATTCAATGGTATAACTGTACTACTATATCTACGATAATTACTTACTATACCGTATCCTCTTCAAAGAGTTGTATATTAAATTAAGCAATACCCTCCCTCCAACAAACATGGAAGTGGAACATGACCCCTTAGAAGACAGTTTTCCTCTACTAACAGGGGGTGCCATCCACTTCCTGTTTCAAGAGTAATATCCATACTAATCGGCTGCACTTTCCAATTGCTTGCCGGTCCCTTGGGCGATGGGGCCTGGCCAAACAGCCGAGTCCCGGAAAATCCCTCGGAATGGCCGAGCCCCCTCCACTGCGGATGGACTTCCTGTTAGGTGGTCAGTGCCAGTGTGACTGTGACCACCACATCAGAGGCATGCGACTGTGTCACGCATTGCGTGGAGTTGCTGGTTGAGTAGTCAGTAGTGGAACTTGCTTTTCTCCTGGAAACCCAAAGTCCCTGATGGTGGACGTGCTCAGTTTCTCATCCCCTTTGCTTCCAAGATTGCTTCTGAGGTATGTTCAGTGTCGCTTCACCTTTGAAGGTCGACCCCATCTGATAGGCTCAGATCCAATGAGAAGTGAATGGCAAGTACATACTTTGGGCAGGTTCAGATTTCAACAGGGGAAGATCACCAAAGGAAGATGTCTTTGCAGCACTGCGGTGTTTGTTGCCCCAAGTTTGGCATCCATCTTTGATCCTCAGACAAAAGCCAATTCGCTATTGTAAGCTTGAGAGGGCTGCAGTCCCAGTGGCACACCTTTGAACCCTTCCAAATGGTGAGTGTTGATGCTGTTGTTCTTCATCGGTGGTCCCATGCTTGCAGCTTGGAATACATCTGGTTGATTCTTTATTTCAACTCTGAAAGTTCTTCCATCAATCCAGCCGTGGCCAGCTTCTCTGCAGTTCTACCTTCCAAATCTTGCAACTTAACAATTATATATTGCTAGCATAAATCTTGGCAATCTTGTCAGCTTCAGCCCTGCGGAAAACCCGAACAGCACTGTCAGGAAAACGCTGCCACTGTTCCACAGACTTGTGGCTCAGAGTCCAAACCAAATTAACCTCTTGAGTGCTGTGACGAAGAGGTTCTCACAAGTCCACGCTTTAAGTAGCTTTACTCTGTGTAAGCTTCTTCCAACGTTTGAAAGCCGAACTAGAATCACAAACATGACCACTCATCCTGCAGTGAGTTTAAGAACCATAGATTGAACTCTTGAGAATGTATTCCTTCCTCATGTCACGACTTCCAGCTGTCCAGACGTTTTCGCCTGTGAAGCACTCTTGTCATGCTGAATTGCGGTAGTGATTCCTGTTTGGCACAAGGTTCCTGTGGGCTTTAGGCTTTTGCCTGAAAGATCCAAGTTGTTCGGTCGGTCATTTTTTTGCAAGTCTTTGGTCGGGTGGACCTGGCCCTGACGCGGGACCACCCGAAGAGCAAGATGGAACCGCGTGTGAACCCATCACTGGTAAGAGCAACTTTGTACTATAGGAACAAGAAGCTACTAGGGGCTCCTGGCATCGCTACGAACGGAGCAAGGACGCTACGTTCGGGGCTCCTGGCCGTACTAGTAGCAAGAGGACGCTACTAGTAACAGTATAGGTACGGCATGGACAACGGCGAGGGCGCGACTCTCTGCCTCCGTGCCGTGGGACGCGTGGACGTCCGCAGGGTCCCATCGACTGCGTCTGGGCCAAGTGGGAGAGCTGGGAGGCCGCTGGGGTCGCTTTCGGCAGTCGGACCTTGGTTGGGGTCACGACCGAAGGGCCGAGGAGAGGCCGAGGAGAGGCCGAATGGTTCCATGTCAAACATCAGTAGACATCCACATCCGTGGATCCAGTTCGATAAGGAGATCCTTGCACCAATAGAAAGCTTTGAGGTGTGTAAGTCTACATGGGTCTACATGAGTCTACAATGTTTAGTTAGTTTGTGAGACTAGGAGCTTTTTGGGTTCTTAGACACATGGCAGTTGCCAGAGTGTTCGGTCTTTGAGCTCCGTCCATGTCTTTACTCGCTTGTTGGTCAATTCATCCCAAGAGCAGCAGGATGTGTGACAGGTCTGCGGAAAAGAAGCACAAGTGAACACCCATGCTACCCTTTGGAGCACCCGCTTTGTGACAAAACCAATGTTTAGGCTCAAAGGATGCTGCGTTACTGGTGGTCATTACCCTCTCTCTCTCTCTATATCCACGAACATATACGAACATCTAGGTTGATGAACAGCTGTGTGGTGTCAAGCATGGCACCCCTCGACCCATCAGCGGTCGAGGCGTGTACGGCCAGCTGTGGGTCTGGCACCCACACGCGCAGCCGCTCGCTCGCCACCCACGCCAACAACCTGGGCCGAGACTGTGCTCCTCGGCTGTGGTGTGTGTGACAGGGGGGGGTCAGGACGATCGGAATCTGAGTTGGGTGTGGATCAGCAAACAATTGCCTAGCAACCTGGTGCGACGGGTCTACCAAAGAGTAGCCCTTTGTGGCCGATGTATATATATATACATAAATATATATATATATAATATTATAATATATATGTATATGTGTGAACACCCTCGGAATGAGGTGAACCACAAATTAAGCGCTTTGAGCCCGTCGTCCAAGCGCCAACGAAGATCTTGGAAGTTTGGATGTGCAAACCTTTGTCGATGGCTGCCCTGTCCTTGTGTGACAACTGGAGGATGATAAGCTGCTATTTTTAGTCCGTGCTTTGTAGCTAGACTCTAAGACCAAGAGTGCTAGTAAGTTCAGTTCGTGCTGTTTTGCAGTTTCAAGCTTTGAGTTTCATGTGCGGACTTGGTACGCCTGACACGAGCATTTTGGCTTGAAGTCCGGACATCAGTTTACAGTGTACTATGACCCCTACAGCATTCTAAAGACGCTCGCCCCTGAATACCCTTACAAGTGTGGAGGAAGAGAGAGAGGAGAGAGAGAGAGAGAGAGAGGGAGGGAGGGAGGGAGGGAGGGAGAGAGAGAGAGAGAGAGCATGAGTTTGGCCACAATCCTATATTTCAATGAAATCACATCAACGTCTCTCTTCTTTTGCTTTTTAAAGCAGGTCTTTTCTGCTCGCGCCTGAAAATCTGATCAAATCAACAGAGAAATCATGAATGACAAAACCAGCAGCTTTGTTTTCATTGGGGCCAGTCATGGGGGTAAAGAAGCTGCATAGCCGATCTTCAGTGTGGAAGAGCTAGGGTTTGAGATGTTTGGCTCGGGGACACCTGGTTTGAAACAGGGGTGAATCAGCGGGAGTGTTGGACAACTGTTTGATGCACTTGGGACTATTGCAGTGGATGCACCATCCAAAATAGCTTAGCTGGAGGACGTGGTATCTACCATGGACTTCCTTACCTTCTAAATTCCAAATCAGGCCTTGAAACAAGAAGCTACTAGTAACAAGTGCCTTACTACTAGGAGCAAGAAGCTAGTAGTAACAAGAAGCGTCAAGAAGGAAGACCCAGGTTCCCAAGGATCTGGACAGTTTCATTTAAATTAATAGCTTCTTGTTACTACTAGTAAGGCACTTGTTACTACTAGCGTGGCACTTGTTACTGAGAAGTGGGACTCGCGGATCTGGACCTCCGACGGATCCGATAAAGACTCTGAAGGCACGTCGCCAACTGAGGCCGGGGAGGATCGACAAGTGCAATCCTGCAAGGCGCGCAGAAACCGCGGAGGTCGGACCTGAAGACATCTATTTGATCTATCTACATTTCTACATGTTTGTTTTATCAAACGTCTCACTCATGTTAGCAGCAGTTGCTCATGTTGGTTTTGCACAGACGTTGTATTGAGTTTGCTGAAAGAGTATGAAAGAGTCACTTTGCGGGATGCACCCAAACCAACGGTATCCGGGTATCCTAAAAGTTTTGCAACATTGCTCAGCGGGTCCTTTTGCGAAGAGCGGAAGGGTTCTGAGCAGTGATCTCAGCGATCGCGAACGTGAAACCCGGCAAGTCCTCCAACTGCAGTCAGGCAACAAGTCATTCAAGGATGAAATATAGAGAGGTATAACTGGGTGGAGCAGTGAACACGTGTGCCAGGTGGAAAGACCATCTCAACTTCAGATCTGTTCAACTTCCACCGGTGGTAGCGGCGCAGGGCGAGGAGTGCCCCAGTTGCAGCACCTCGGATTGGAGCGGGTGGCCTCAGACCTATGGCATGTCTTAGTTGTAAGGTTTTTACATGAACATGTACATACCTTTACACGTTTCTTTCCTTTTCTTTAAATGATGCCCTTTGGCTTTGATCCGCATACGGCTTCCTCTTTTGCTCCCCCCTTTGTGGAACCGCGATCCCTGGGTCCCAGGCGACTGGTCGCCGTGCACGGGGCCCTGCTCCTACTTCAGCTCACGCTCCATCCGCGTGCGCGAGCCACTCCAGCAAGGCGCTGAAGCCGGGCTTTTGCACCGATTCCGGGGCACGGCGGAACGGTATCCGCCTGGATGTGGGATGTGGAGGGTGTGACACATCGCCGGGACATCGAGAATGTTCGCAAAGACAGAGCAGGGTTTATCTGTGGGATCAAGGAATGCACGAGGATGTGGTGTAGGATGTCTTGCGACTTGCAGTGGGAGGTGTCCAAAGACGCAGAGCATGTTTGGGGATGTTTATGATCCTCAGAGTCAGAGTGATCCTCCTGTTCATAAATCGCTTGTGATTTTGTGGCCTCAACCTGGATGTGAAAGGCCAAACATGTTTATGATCTCATGCAGCCATAGCACGTGGTACGTGTGGTTCTGCACGCCCCCCTTTGCATCGGACCTTTGGACCGTCACGAAGCATTCCGAGACCCAAACACGCCGAAGCATTCCGAGCACCCGCCGCTTTTTAATGATGCGGCGACCACCGAGATCTACACTACTGATCCGTCAAGCGTTGATAACTCCTAGATGGCCAATCGTCGTTGCCAAATCTGGGGTCAGCAGCTCAGCAGATACAGTCCAATCGCTATGTAAGTCTTTAGCCCTCTGGCAGCAAATGGGCGCGTATTAGAATAGGAAGACCTCCCAGTTGGACCTCCAGGTTCAGAAGGGAAGTGGATCAGTCTACCCAGCCAGGGGCCACGGGGTCCCTTCTGTTTGCGACCGGATGTGGCGAATGCGAGGCATTTGTGACCAGAGCCTGGAGGAAGAGAGAGCCTGCAGCTGTGACGAGCAGGCCGCAAGCTTTTATAGAAGGGCGGCACTTGGGGTTGAGTAAACGCATCACAGTGGGGAACAGTCTTGGTAATAAGAAGCAACACAAATTCGATCCTGTGTTTTCCTGGCATGCGCACCCTTCAAACAAGAAGGGCTAGTGTTAGGGTCCTTTTAGAGTTGGTCAACTATGTTCCTATCTTAGACCCCAAGGCCATATTCCTCATCTTCCCACCCCCAGATGGCTACAGGGCTTGCCAAGTCAACATTGGTAAATGAGCCCAAGATTCTACTGCTTCCAATAGTTTGTGTTGGAGGGGTTTCTACTTCTATTTGGTTTAAATTTAGGGTCGCTATACGGTCAACATTTGCTCATCTTCCATTCGCACTCCGTGGGTTTTCGACCGACCGTGCAGCTTTCCGGTTTTGGGAAGCCAGGGAGATGAAGTAGAAAGTTCTTCCCACATTGAACCTGGGGGTGAGATGCCCGTGGATTGCACTCTGTTCTCAACACGGCTGAATGCCACAGCAGCATGGTTCAAACGACCTGACGCTGGCGCAGTGCACAGATGGTTCGGAAAGGCAGAAAGCTTCTCCGTCAGTGTCCAGAGTTGAGAGTGAAGGTAGTGCTCCCGAGTGGCTCAGCTGGTTTGATCGAGCTACATTTGTTTGGCAGTTGGTTTGTCAGTGTAGGTCCTAGTTGAGTATTCACAGCGCAACAGAGAGAAGAAGGGAGAATGAGATTTGGCTTGCCGCTGTTCTGATCTTGTTGCCGTGATGTTTTTTGGATTATGCTTAAGCCTCCAAACATGCTGTAGAGTTCCGGTATTCAGGGCAGGTTCGGACGGGAGGATGGGATTTACTTGAGGTGGCCGTGATGTAGAAGTCTCGGTGCCTGTGACCTCCAAGATTGGAGATGTGAAAGTTGCTGCCCAGAAGTCTTTGGAACAAGGCGAGCTGCGGGCTGCAAGCGACTTACCTGGGTGTCTGGGAGGCTGAGGCCTTTACATTCTTCTATTTACCGAAGACACAGGAACTAGATCAGAGTCGGCTTCGGTGGGGATGGCCTGGTAGAGTCCCAGTATACCATTTCCTTCATGATTTTGTGCCTTCGGTAATTAAACCGACCAACGTCGGAGATGGCTTGGCAACATTGTTGTGTTACTGGGTGCCTTCAGTAGCCCAAAGTCTTCGAAGTGGGATTGATTCCCTGGAGGAAACGAACCAGTTTCGCAACTGGGCATGCCAGCCACATGGCCAGAGTCCGCTTCAATATCAGCAAGCCACAGATCGGCTTTGCGCTACTGAAATATATCTGCGCTCACGACAGCACTCATGAAAGCACCCCTACCTTTTGAGCGAGTTTGCACAAATGAGAAGTGTACCAATCAAGCCATGACCAATGGCGTTTAACGAAAAAGGGCGGCTACGTCGTGACCACAGCTGCCTGAGGTTTTTTGCATAACCACAGGTTATGAGCCCAAAGCCCCACATTTTTTCTTCTTGAAGTCCACCCCTGAAGATCAGGGTTGTTGGTCCCCATGAGCGGCTTTGCAGCGCGGCGCCGGCGCTCCTCACAAGAAGGAGAGAAGCTGAAAGACCCTGCAGATCGAGAAGGGCATCTTCGCGTGGGCGCTGCTGATGAGCGGCTGGACACCCTTTTGGAAGAGTCGAGGGCAAGCTCGATGCCTGCTGCGGTGAGGAGGATCGCAACAGCGCCAGCGCCCATCGACGCAGGAAGACCATCAGGTTCGACCACGGAGAATGGTCATCGTGGTGTGAGGCATGACCATCCGGAGCTGTGGAAGGCTGGCAGGAGACAGTCCCTTTGGTCATGGGAACCAGGCCCCCGCCTCCCAATGGACTTCTTGGACCCATTTTTCATGGCCATGATCCGGGACACCCTCATGCCGGCGATCACGGATATCCTGGAGGGCAAGTTGGCTTGGAACCACCTCTGCCCAAAAGTTCTTCACCTCAGTGTCCGGTTCCGCCTCGGGTGGAGCGCCGTGGAGCGACTGTTGATGGTGGACTTCAACCCAGGGTTCATGAACCGTATGTCATTGCCACCCCTCATCAACCAGTTCGACAGCCAGTGAACCCTTTCTGGAGCGATCGTGTTCGTGCTCCGGAACCTGGCACCCACTGCGCAGGAGATTGACTCCATCAGGGAAGGGAACCTTCGTGAAGCGCATGAGAAAATCTTAGAGAAGGAGGTGAAGAAGATCACGGGCGGTGGTGACTCGTCCTCCTTTGAGTCTGTGAATAGTGTTGGGGAGAGGGGGAGACAACCTCAAGCTCGGGACCATCAAGGGTTTGGGGCTGGTGAAGGTGCGTTGGACCCACTTCATGATCGACCCCTCTGGATTACATGGCGCTGGGGACGGTTCCTTTGGCCAAGGCAATCATTGATGGTTGCCCCCAAGAGCACTATGCCCGCTGGCTGACTATGAGTCCCCTGGAGAGACTGCGAGCCAAGCCGGAGGTGATAATTGATCCTGCGCTTCAACGAATTGAGCAGCGTGGCATTGCTATGCTGCTCGGCGCGCTTCCTGATCAACTTCGACGAGAAGGCAGCCGTCGGCGGTGCACATCCTGTACCGGCTTCATGTTGCTTACCAACCCGGCGGCGGTGCCGAGAAGACACAGCTGCTGAAGAATCTGGTGGAAACCAAATTCTCCACCAATGTCAATGAGCTCCTCGTGCAGGTCAGGCTTTGGAGGCGGTGGCTCTCCCGTGCGCAGGAGCTTCACCTGAATCTTCCGGATCCGATCGTGCACATGGTAGCTCTGCAGCGAATGATTGAGAGTGCCACAAAGACAGGCGGCGCACAGATGTCGTTCAATGTGCGGCAGGAGCCCCGAGTTGACTATGGCCGCATCCCTGGCAGGAGTGACAGAACTGGCTGAATATGTGCAGGCGGAGATCGAGGAGATGTCACATGATGACCGCACAAAAGGGTGGAACACCAGCACCTCAGTCAGCTGTCTCTTCCAACCAAGCCACTACAACGTCGTTGAAAGCTATGGCATTGTCGTATGGCGCTGCGGCTGCTGACGGTGATGATCGAGCAGCCTAAAAGCCGGCTTGCAAGTTTTGGAAGTCGGAGGATGGCTGTAAGAAGACTTCGAATTGCTCCTTTGTCCATGACAGCTCGGACATTAAGAACCGTTGCTATAGCTGTAGGGGAGCACATATGAAGAAGGACTGTGCCCGCATCAACCGAAGAGCGGAAAGATCGACTACAAGAAGGTGTCAAAGGTCAAGGCAGCGAAGGAGACTGACAAGTTGGAGACTCGGGAGAAAATGACGAAGGACCCTCCTGGCGGCGATGAACCGGCAGCTGGATCATCATCCTCTCCTATGTCAACTACATCGAAGACCGCTGACTCGCCTGAGAAGTCGCAGAGTCGGGACACTGCTGCAGAGTTGTTGTCGGAGGCCACTTCATTGCTGAAGACCATCAGGAGTATGAAGGTGCTTCAAGTCAAGGAACTGAAACCCTTGGAAGTGAATGATTGTGGAGCCGTTGGCCTACTCGATGATGGCGCGACGAATGGACTCCGCTAAGCACATCCTCATGAGCTTGAACACATGTACCCGGTTCGGGTAGAACTGGCATCTGGATCTGAACAGTTCAGGGTTGAGGACCACAAGACCCTACTGTCGTGCGAGCGTGTGGAGGTCATAGTTCCCTTACATCGCTTGGTGGCGTTGGGCTACCGAGTGCAGTGGACAGCGGCTGGTGTCAAGATCAGCCACCCTGAGCATAGCAGGAATGCGCTCTGAGAAGTGGATGTCCTGTGCTCCCTGAGGCTGAGGCGCTAGAGCTGCTCAATGTCATGGAGAAGGCCGATCGTGGAGAGATCTTGAATTATGACAGGACCTGTGAATGGTGGTCATCCTACTTCCCCTCTCTCCGACCCGCATCACGGTGGCCTTTGCTCGTCGGTAAAACTCCCGCGAGATCTGGAGGAGGAAGGTTGTCACGGACAACTGGGTGGAGAACCGCAACTCAGATTTGGAAGGCGTTCATGAATGGTGTGGATACACCTTCTTCTATGTGAAGTTTGGACCTCAACCGGATGATGAAGAGTCGGTGAAGGTCGTCAGCATGGTGGTGCTCAGCAGCCTGTTTTCCCCCGTGGGGCCAGGCCGGAAGACCACAGGGGATATGGACAGACTGGCCCAACTCAATCGCGAGCTCTGGAAAGAGGACGAAGTGCTACTCAAAGCCAAGATGGCGCCGATGGCGCTAGCTCGTCCCCAGGGCGTATATGATGGAACTGCAATCATGGCTCGTGACACAGCCGTCTTCGAGGGTGGCCCGATGAGTGGATATGAGGCCCGACGCATGGGAGAGGAGAGATTGAAGCCGCCGAAACCGCGCTGCTGCCGCTGGAAGACAAGAATGAGGAGGCGTGGAAGCTCTCGCTGACTGCTGAGGGCTTGCTTCCGCCTGAGGCGGATGATGTCCCTGTTTGAATGGGGGTGGGAAGTTCGATCTTTGAATTGTTGGCGAACAGCAGATGAAAAAACCTGCTGTGAGCCAACATGGTGGCACCGCCACCACGGGGAGTGCGCTCACGACAGCACTCATGAAAGCACAGCTACCTTTTGAGCGAGTTTGCACAAATGAGAAGTGTACCAATCAAGCCATGACCAATGGCGTTTGGCTCAAGTGAACGAAAAAGGGCGGCTACATCGTGACCACAGCTGCCTGAGGTTTTTTGCATAACCACAATATCAATAAAACTGGGTGTGGTAGACTGTGGAGCCACACACCAGCAAGGGATTTCGTTTTTGTCTGAGTCCCCCAGTGGTACCGCCAGGCTTCTTGAAGCTCGTGGGCCCTGATGGACAGCTCTTGAATCCATCTGGTGCGCTTGCAGAGCTTGGACTTGAAGATGGAGAGACTTGGTGAGGTCGACCGATTCAAAAGGTCCCTGTACCGGTTGCATTTGACCCGGTGGAAGTTCGAACCGAATTGCCGCTCGTTTTTTTGGGGCACGCTTTTGAAA